CTCTTATATCACCACTTTTGGAAATATTTGTCACGGTGTGATTATTGTTTAGGTTATGTATGTAATATTTAACTTGATTAATATTTTATTAATTTATATTTTTTAAATAATTAATTATTATTTTAAAAATATTAATATATAAATAGTAATTATATTTTTTATAATTAATTTATATAAAAAGTAAAAATTAATTTTAAATTTATCAATTATCTAATTAAAATAATTCAAGTGAAATCAATATTAAAAATAATATTTATTTTTATATTTTACTATATAAAATTATTATAAAAAAATGTAATTAATGCATCTTAAACACAAGTTAAAAAAGTCTTTATTGAATATGGCAAAAGTAACTTCATTTCTATGCAATATGAGAATATTTATTGACATATATATATTTAAGTGTGTTAAATTTTTTGTAATTATTAAATTTATTAAATTAATTTAAAAATTTATATATGTGATTATATTAAAATACTTTTATTTATCTTTTATAAGATGTTTTAATGATTAAAAACTTGACTTTCAATATTGAAAATTAAAAAAAAAACTTTTTTATCCAAAAATTAATTTTTTAAAATATTAATTAAAATATAATATTTTTAAAAATATCCTCCATAAAAGAAATCTTGCAAAACACTTTTTCCTTTATTTGAATAACTCTATTTTTTTATGGTAATTTGATCTCTAAAATTTGAAATTCATCTATTTTTTAATTCTTTCATTGAGTTTTGATATTAGATGACGAAAATTTCAAAGGAGAGAAATCGAAAAGAGGTTTTTTTTCAACACAAAAGAACCAAATTTGGGCTATTTTTAGTCCCTTTTTAATTCTTTTTTGGTTCCTTTACTTTGAGTTTTTTATCATTTAACGTGCAACGTATATAAAACTTAATGAAAGGACTAAAAAGAAGCTAAATTTTAAATTTTAAAGACAAAAAAAAAAAATTTTTAAGTAAAAAAACTAAAAAAAAGTTTTTTATTAAAAAGTAGAGAAATTAAAATAGAGATTTAACTGAATATTTAATTACAGAACCTATTAACGTCGGATAGAAATTAGAAACTATATATTAATTTGAATGACGGTTCAGTTCTTCATTTATTTTTCTTCTTTCTTTGATAAAGTTCAGTTCTTAATTTATTGAAGGCAGTAAAACTTGTAAGCATATATATGTGAAAGACAAGAAGCTTAACACTTCTACGACCCAACTCCCACCTGCACTGCGGTTAGCTAGCCCCAACTAAATAATAATAATTCAAAGGCCCAACACAAGAAGCCGAAAAACTAGACTAGATAGATCTAATATTGTAATTAATGTACCATAA